TTCTGATGCCATATTACTATTCACTGAGTAATATTTTTTTTTAAAGATTATTTATTTATTTATTTGACAGACAGAGATCACAAGTAGGCAGAGAGGCAGGCAGAGAGAGAGAGGAGGAAGCAGGCTCCCTGCCATGCAGAGAGCCCGATGTGGGGCTCGATCCCGGGACCCTGGGATCATGACCCGAGCCAAAGGCAGAGGCTTTAACCCACTGAGCCACCCAGGCAACCCTCGCTGAGTAATAATTTAACCTGCATCCTCAACCAATTCAAACATAACTAATTTCAACAAAAACTATTAAGGTCAAAAGTAATGCATAGAAGAGAATAAGCAGTATTTCTGAAGTTGGTAAATGCCAACAATTCAAATTTGAATCATATTTTACCATTTTTAGTCAGTATGTAATTTTAAGTAGAATTTATCAAATGGTATATAGAGGACTATATTCATTTGTTGACATTTATCAGCAATTTAAAACAGTGAACAAAAAGGCGAAAATATTTGAAGACTACTGAAAGTGTCATTCTTTTATTGACATTCAAGAATGCAAACTTCCTAAACTTGAGGTATAATAAAAAAATTCCTAAAGCGGAAAAGCTGCTTGATTTTACACATACAACTTTGCCTAAAACAGTTTAAGCCTCTCTGGAATTAGCCATCAACAAAATAATCAAAACATTAAGAATTGAGCTACACAAATGACAGGGACTTTTTTTTTAAGTTGTATTTTCTTGAGGTCTAATGCTTCAGTGAGATTTACAGAGAGAGGATGAAGTTGAGACTTCAGAATTACCCAAATTGGGATGACTTACACACATTTATGAAAACTTTTGCTTAGGTACTACATAAATAAACAGTGTGTCTACAGGTATAATGTTTAGATTAAGAGAAATAAAATACAGTCTTTTGTTATGTGAGAAAAAACCTGACAGTTTAACATAATGGTGGTGTTCAGTTGACAATTTCAAGATCCAGCTAAGCCCCTCATTTTCTTAATTTTTTTCTTTTCTTTTTTTTCTTTTTACTGAGGAGTCTTTGCCTGTCAACTACATGCGCTAACCTCACCTTCATCACTGTTCAGCCGTAAATACTCCATCTGGGGTATTCAATGAATAAACACAGGCTTCATATTTTAATGCTGTCTTTGATGAAGTCTGGTCTATGGGCCACCCTATTAATTAGCAAGGCAATGTTGGACCTGTGTCCAGGTGGTCCAACACTAGATGAGTGGGGCAATGTTAAAGGCAGGTGACACATAAGCGAAGCTTTTATTTCTAACTGCATAAGAGCAGCCCAACAAAGCTATCTTCTCCCAGCTGTTCCTCTGAGTTCCAAATTGCACAAAAGCAAGGTTGGTTGGACTAGAAAGGAGATTATGGCATAAAGATTCGTTTGAAAATGTCAAGTGCTATGACTCCAGCTATGTAAAGATAAAAGAGGTAAACGTTTAAGAGGGAAGTGAGGGAGGGAGAGCAGAAAGGGGTAGGGAGTAGAAAGCAGCAGAGTGAGTAATACCAATTGCCAGAGAGGAGAATTGTGGAGTACAAATAGAGGGCAATAAACCAAAGTCCAGGAAAAATCAAACTAATACACTGTTTTGACTAATAGTAGTGGGGCAGTTTACTTTTATGAACCCCATACTCTATTTGGAATACCTGTTCCCGCAATAAAAGCATTTTTTCACACCTCTCTTCAATTTGCCTGATTTTTTTTTTTTTCTGCCTACATTGCCCTTTTTACTTCATCTGGGCAAATTTAACTTGTATTTCAATTCCTAGATTGCATGTCATTTATGCTCTGAAGCTTTCCATGATCTCTTTAAACAAATTCCTTGCTCTTGGATCCCACAGCACCTTTATCTTGAGTTTGCATGTGACATTATTCATGCGACACTCACATTGTGATCCGGTTCTTTCCAGCAATGATTTGTTGAGCTTTTCCTGTGCCAGCCATCATGCTAGGTACTTGGAGCAGGAGGTTGGGAGGGGGTTCAGGTAAATTAGATACAAACTCTGTCCTCAAGAAGCTTTCAGTCTAGAAAGGGATGGGGATGTAAGCAAAGAAATGACACCTTTGTGATAAGTATGGCAATGAAAAAGTAAATACAAGGCACAGATTTAGTGCAGAGAAGGTGGTTAGTTTCATCTAGAGATGGAAGAAACAGGAAAGGCTTGCCAAGTAAAATGATGGTAAGTCGTTTTACTATCCTCATCACCTACCAGTGCCTGGCACATAAGAGATAGACAAGATCTACCAATATAATTTAGTTGAACAGGTAGGAGTCTGGTTCTAAAGTTCAAAGTGTCCAGAAGCCCAATTTCTTTATATTCAAAATCACCTTGTTCCACTGGGGTTCAATCTGGTACCTCTACCTTTGCCTGTGTGCATTTGCATGTTTGAAATAAAAACCAAGCTGTTTTCTTTGGTCAGGTTGTCTGTGAAAATGGCTGCTCCATTTCCGTGGCTCCATTCTCTCTTCATTTACAGTTCTCTTAGTGTATTAACTTTAAGAAAGTGTGTTTCTTTAATTAACTAGTATAAAAAATTGTTAGAAATCAGATAAACTAATAGGCTTTTGCAAACTTTGGGAAAAATAATGTTTTCTTTTTTCTGGAAGTGTATTTTGCAAATATTAACAATGACTTTGAATAATTACTACAAAGTTAAAATAAAAAGCATGGATGCCTTTGGCATTAGGGCAGTTTATATCTAATACACTATAATGCAGTAAGATGATGTTGAATCCTGTTTGTTAAGTTTGTCTTTGAAGCCATCAAATTGGATGATTCCCATTAAAGTTTGAATGCAAACTGTGTTTTAAAAGTGAATTCATAAAACAAAGATTACAAAATATTATACTAATCACTTCATATTAATAAAAGGCTTCCTTATAACTTTAAGGATAGGCAATTTCAGAAACAATTGTTGGCATCTTTGCAGAGCCTGGATGAAACCAAACTGATCATGATAATGACACATTATAGAATTGCATCCCCACATGTCCTTTTTTAGGCATGACAAAAATAACAGTATTTAACTTAAAGGGCATCAAAATGCACATCGTCCCCATAAATACAGAACCCAATTCACAGAAGACTAGAATGAAGAAATCTGTTAGGAAGCAACCTGACTCTCATTCTCAGCAATTTTAAAACTTATGTTCCTTGACACCATATGCTACAGGGAATAGTAAAGACATCTGAATTCAAATATTTTGAAGAAATGTGTATTTAGCAACTGAATACATGCTAAAAGGAATAATTTACAGCAGCAGTTTCATTACATTTGTCTCTCCAGTTTTCTAGTTCCCATCTGAAATGCAGTGATAAATACAGATATGGAACATATTTACTACCTGGCAAAAAAAACCATGCTTATTGAATGGGCACACAGTCTCTGCCCTTGAATAGCGCATAACCCCCCTTGTCACCTGTGTGGGGAAATCTTGCATTTTAGGATGATGTTGAACACACTGATATGGAGAACCTATATAAAGTTGTAGTTCACTGTCCTTCCTCTTATTTTCAAAAATATTTACATCTCTTTTGCCTAATGTGTAGGTAGCAAAAATATGAAACACATTACCACTGAAAATCACTAAATTGTACATAAAAGTAGCATTGAGTGTGGATTTACATGCATTTACATTTTACATTGGATTTCAACTGGGCCAGAATTTTTCTGCTGCGATGACCTTTTCCAATCGTAAGATTGAGGTCAGAACTTGCTTATGGTCATGTGAGCCTCTTAACAAAGTTCCAACTCGGATGATACATGCAATATGCCAAAGTCTAGAAAAACTTAATTAAATGGGACATTATTTTTTCGTGCAAAATGTCCCCCTCAATACACATTGGCAGAGTATGACTGTACTAAGAGTTATCTATCTGCTAGTTATATCTATAATTTTCTTTGAAAACTCAGACCCGATGGTTTATAAAGACATGCCAGAGATTTGCTTCTTTTGCTTCTTTTAATTGAAGTTTAGACTTCCTTTCTCTGGGTTTTCCATAATGCTAAACAAAACTCAGTCAGACACTGGAAGGCATCCCTAAAGTTATCATACAATTTCAATCTGTAGCCCTTCAGATCCATTCATTTTGAGGACTAATAAGAATTTAGATATTTGTTACTGCAAATAAATGTTTCAGCCTCAAATTTCGAAGGAAATGCAACACCAAATTTTAGCACAGTTAAGATTCTCTAAGAAAATAAAAGAATTACCTATTTTTGGAGTACTCTCTGTTCTTTGATTAGTACTTCAAACATTTCTTTTTCTCTACAGAAATATGTCCTTCAAATAATTTAAAATTCAAATACCATTTGAGGATGTATTTCTAAAAGTAACACTGTATTCATCAATGGAGCCTAAAATTGAGTGCAGAATATTTTTAGGCTTTCATTTGGAATAGGCATTAACAAATTGTTTATTCAAATCACTAAAACTGAAACATGAGCTTCCATCTGTGAAATATTTCATCTGAGAATTAAAAAAAAAAAATTCACTGTAGTCTGAGGTGAGAAATTAATGCTGAGTTAATTAGAATCCCAAGACAGCTAGAGTTAGAATTTCAATGCTGCTTTCATTAATTAGCGAGAAGATGTTTCCTTTGCATTTTTGTGCATGAGATCTAGGGAGGGCTTCCTGGAAAGGTGAGTGCAGAGCAAGAGAAAACCGTCATAATGCTTACACACCTTGAAGTCAATGATTCTCAAGGAATCATGTTAGGACAAGGAACAAGGCAAGTCCTTTATTGATCAGCTTTTACCTTACTTTATAAATTGCTGCAGGAAACAAAAAGTTACATGATTTGAGTGTGAGCTGTGCCCTGGAAAACAGTTTGTATAAGTCGCTCCCATCAACATGAAACGAATCATATGTTCCTTAGACAAATCATTGTTTAAAACAAGATGAGATAAAAGACAGCTGATACAGATGTAAACAGAGTTGGGAAATTTGCTTTTAAGAAGTTGTTCTGCATATTACTGATCTTTTAAAAAAAAAAATTGAGTGACAGAGATGTAATTCCTAAAGGAATCATTGGAGTTTTTTATATCTCAAATATCATGCAGGTTTTCAAGCACAGAATTAAGAGTTTTTCTGTTAATGTTATATTTAAACAATGCTTATTCTTTTCATGAAATATGCAGTTCCTTTTCTCCTTATTGATCCATTAGGTACAACACAAGGTATTTAACAGATCAGTTTGCATCTTCTGATTTTGCTGGTTAAATGCTCTGTATTTTCTAGAAAACATTATGCAAGTTAAACTTAATTTTCGATAATACTTAAAGAAGGGGGAGGTGTTATTTGTTTGAATTCCTCAGAGAAATAAAGCCTAATTTATATGCAGGCTTCAGGAAACAGCGGTAAATGATGTTTATGTGTTTCTTGAACACTACTGGCTATCCCTCTTGTGGAACTAAAAACACAATGTCGGAAAAAAGCAGCGCGCGATTGGAGTTTTTAAAACAAAAACTATATAGCACAATAACTGTAAGACAAAAACCTACTCTAGCTTAGAAAAGAGCTAATTTTTACTGCATATTTGTCATGGTACATTTAAATTACAGTTTTAATAAAATACATCTTTAGATCAAAGCTGAAAGAAGACATCAGTAGTAGATCAGTGTATTCCATTTTTCTTCTGGATGATGGATGGTTTATGTTTTTTATATTTCCACAGACCATTTCATTCAGTATCATTTTACTCCTCCAGTACATATAAACATGAGTGCTGGTAGACAAAAAAATATCCTTGAATCCAACTATATTTTGGAATATTCATCAGCTTCATAAATCCATGCAGTTTATTTTAAACTTTTCAGTTCAGTAAAATGGCTTTGCTGATGCAGTTTTTCTTCTTTAGATGGCAATATGGCAAATGACATTTTTATTTCTCAGGCAAAGAAGAAAGTGAAACCTGTACAATGAAATCTCATAGGAAACATTTAAGTCTGCTAAAGTGAACATCTGCGTTCACCTGACCTCTATTAGGTGTTGGTATTAGGCGGAAAGCCTGTTAGCAAAGTTACTCATGGACTTAATTTATAATTGGGGGAAGTCAGTTGCATTTCCCACCATTGTAAACATCCACATAATGCCATGAAAAAAGTTCATGTATATTGCATTTTTCCAGTTATTACCTAGGCAAGTTTCTACTTGTTTGAGGTTTCTAGAGGTAATGCAGCTCAGACACTCCTGGGTGCCCTCTCAAATTCGTGGGTCCGCCTGTTTCTACCTTTCTTATTTTCCTGTAAGTGCTTCCATTTGTTACTACTCCCTTGGTTATGTCCTGGCCTTTGCCGACGCTGTTTTCGGTCCCTTTTCCATACTTGTTCACAGAACTCATCCATTGTGTTCAGGTTGGGGTGGTTGATGAGCTGCATGAAGTCTCTGTACCAGACTTTCTGGCTAGGTGTCATGCTGTTGGATATTTCTTTGGTCTTAGACCCATCTCCATCATCATCTTTATGGAGAAGTTCTTCCAAATGCTCCGTGTCAATGACTTCCAAGGTCACTTTAAGAAGAGTCTGCATGAATCCATGTTCCACGGCATGGCAGAGGTAATTGCCTGAATCCTTCCGTTGCAGGCTACGCAGTAGAAGGCCTTGTTCTGTCCTGATGATATGATCATCCACTCTGATCTAGCAGAAGAGAAATGGTAGCAAAAATATACATATTTAAAGAAAGAGAAGTTCTGGAACTCTGTCTCAGTAACAATTTAGATTACGTGTTGAGGCACACTTTAACCGTTAATAAATGTCTAGCTTAAGAGAAATGATAGCAGCTGTCCATCAGAAAAAGAGTTAGAAATTTCTGTAAATCAATTTCAAGATGCGTTGCAAAATTAATACAGTGTCTACTGTCTTAATATAATTTTTCATTATAATTTAAAATATTCAAGATAATAAGAGGATAAAGAAACACTTTATTTTATAAACTTGAAAGAAGGTATATAAATATAGGTGAAAGTTAACAGTAAATCTTGGAAATACAGAACCATGATGGCAGAAGACAAGGCAACGTTAGAATGAACTCAGAGATTTGAAAAAGTTAAAAAATCAGCAGTTCAGCAAGCAGTGGAAAGCAAAGGACTACATGCTTAATAATTACCCACTTTCTAAGCCTTAGATGTGACATAAATATGAAGATGCACTCTTGAATATATCTAACCTCCCTCTTATTTTGAATATAGTTTACAACAGACATCTCTGAAACCCTAAGCTGAGAGGGTATAAGATTGTCTAAAATCAACTCTGACATTCGTATGATGTGATTACCTATTTAAAGATGCTTCAAATGTCAAAAAAGGCAAGGGGCGACCTTAAACTTTATATTCAGATTGTGTTTATAAAATTGCAAAGAATACATTTACCAATCACCTACATGACCTGGTTAGTTACCCTTATTTCATACTTCTAAAAAGTTTTAAAGGCTCAGAGCATTGAGATTTTCTGTGTACATTTCTTTACTTTTACACAGGAATAAATGAATACATTGAGGAGGAAGATCTGTCTGATGCTACATGCATAGTTCATATCAGAGTTCATACTGGGACAGTAGACCCTTCATCCTAAATCTCCTACTTCCATTCTCAAACCTTTTCTCCCCATTTGAGGAGGAACTTAATAGAGAAAAGAAAACATGTTTGGATAGCAGAATTAATTGAACAGTAGTTAAAATTAGTAGAGGATTTGATTTTTTTCTTTTGTACACAAACATAGATAACAAATTGCTTTGTAGGCAACTACAAGGAAAAAGAAGACTTTCAAATACATTCCCAAATGGCTTCTGGGACAAAAGTCTTATCAGTTTACTTTTGTTTCTCCAGCTCCTAGCACAAAGCCTGTTAAAATCAGCATTCAGGGAATGCTCTTTTAATGAATGGACTATTGATGGGTTAAGAAAAAGATGAGATTCACTGTATTTTTTCACCCTCAAGTCAACCGTGCTGGGGTCACTTAACATTATACGTTAGACAGAAATAATCCAGTCAATTTCATTCCTATACCTCTTCTTTTCGCTCTTCATTTCGCCTCTGGAATTGCCAATAGACCAGAGCTCGCTGTGATTTTGGACTGCATTCCAGGAACGTGCTACTATTTTCTACTCCATAGATGATTCTTTCTTCAAGGCTGTGGCCATGGTGATTATCTGGCCGGTGATGAGGAAATGAAATGAGGAAACATTAGAGAAGTAAACTCAACCTTCCAAAGTATTTCTTTGGAAATTCAGAAGATAAATTTGTTGTCTAGTCAGGTGTCTTTTCCAAATTGATTTAGGATGGCAGAAACGTCACGGACGTAAGGTGACAAAACTCAAGAACCTGCCTAAATAGACTAATTATATTGGTATAAGTTATATAAAGCATATACAGAGATTGTCTACCAGAAAATAGCATTACAATAAAAGAAGCAGTCATGTGTGCAGTTTAACTATACATCTTTATATGCCGTGGTAATACTTTCCAAGAAATTATTTTAACTGTAAAACTCTATGCTCTCACTAACGGGACCAGTTCATATGGTACTATTCTCTAGCAGAAAAGTTATTTGAACATTTGGAAACAAGACTCTGTTTCTGAGAAATTATGTTGCCTCTTTATGTTTGTTTTTCATCTTAAAATTAAATTCACCAGCCATTAATATTTATTTAGTATTTTACAGAAGGTAGAGTTCAGGAAGTTTATATTTCCCACCAATAACCCTTAAATAATCTACAAGGTTGTTCTGAAGATCAATTGGTGTGAAATGTTTGGGATGGCTCAGAAGAAAGACGCACAATTATAAAGCAATATGGTTTCAATTGTCCTTATTTTAAAATGATACATCTTCTATTATTTTCAAGAGTTAGGCTAAAGAATATGGCAAGAGTATATAATAAAATGTAGAAATAAGAAAACCTGTTTCCTGATTAAATTTCTATTATTTTACCCTTTATGTAACCTCCTTCAATGTGGTAAATGAAACACAGTTAAGATCAAAAGTAGGACACAGGGAGTCTAGGTAAAACTCATTTAGAGAAGGGAAAAAAAAACCCCTCGTTATTATCTTGTATAATCCTGTTTCCATTATGACATCCTGTACAATCTGGAACTCATTAAATTAATTTAGAAAATAATAAATATATTTTCACATGCATGGAGGGCTGACAGTGTAGACAGATGAAAATTTTTTGCTCTCTACTTCAAACTCAGCTAGATTTTTAATTTAAAAAAAATGTCCCCCCCACCTTTTTTGGCATCGCTTTGACAATTTTACCCTCGTTCCAATCACCTGAGAACTTTTGTCTGTCACAGACAACATGATTTGCTCTTACTAGGTTTAAAGCTCTCCAAAATCCTGCTTTTACCTAACCCCTGTATACGGTTTATGTCCACCAACTCCTAATATCACCCTGCCACGGTGGACGTTCTGCCTCCATTTGCTATCCCTAGGGAGGTCAATCTCAGTGTTTTCTTTTCTATCACCCTAAACTGTGAAATGAAACTCTTCTAAAACGTTGGGAAGTATCTGTCCCTTCTTATTTAACAGCTCAATAACCTGGAAAAAGGAAATGACTGAAATGTAAAGGAACAACATTTAACTGATCCCAAGTCACATTTTCTTTTTTTATATTGGAGATCTATCTTTGTATGTCAGTATATATATTGAATATGGTAGTCTTTTTAATGCACCCTCTGAAATTACTTGTATATCATTGAATGAATGGATATGACACATGCTGCTGTGCTAGTTTGCAAGATATCTGCTTCCCTGGATAGAGGTGAACTGAATCTCTCTGCCTAATGGGCACTGGAAAATCTCCTGTGATACCATGTTTAGAGTACCTTGTCACATAGGTCAGTGGATACATTTTTTTCCCTACTTGCTGTGCAGTTTGAACTTTGATTTAGAAATCCTTTTACTTGGGATATTATTCAGAGTTTATAAAAAAACAAAGAAGAAGAAGGAAATCTGCAAAACGTAGCAACACAGATGAACCTTGGGGAAAACTAAATGAAATAGGCCAGTCACAGCACAAGTCTGTATGATGATCCCACTTACATAAAATTCCTTAAGTAGTCGAACTCCTAGAAGCTGATATTAGAATGGTGGTTGTCGGGGACCGGGGGTGGGGGGGTGAAGGGGTGGGAGGTGGGAAGGGAAATGGGTAGGTGCTAGTCAATGGGTATGTAGTTTCGGTTATGCAAGGTAAGACCTTGAGATCTGCTGTACAACAGTGTGCTACAGAGCACAATATTGTATTGTGCACTTCAAAACTTAAGAGGGTGGGTCTCACATTAAGTGTTCTTACTCCAATAAAATAAAAAAAAAGTAAAAGAAAAGTTTTAATTCAAAAATCCTTTAACTTTTAGGCAAAGACTTTTCATTCAATCTCTACGTATTAATGACTCATAAAACGTGACAGCATAAAACAGTAAAAACCATTAGAATTAGAAGCAAACAACATGATGATCCACCAGTATCTTCTGGCTTATCCAGGTCTATTTTTCTTGTAGAACTTTATGATAAGAACTGACTTGTCTCTCACCTAAGTTACGAGAGAGAGATATCTGTAAAAATCTTAAGATCTAAGTTCTTCTTTGCAAACACAGAGCTCCTTCGGTTGATTAGTTGACACACAGTAAGGAAGAGCAATGTACCTTGTATAATAAGAAAGCCTATTCCAGGGGCACTGGGTGGCTCAGTGGGTTAAGTCTCTGCCTCTGGCTCAGGTCATGATCTCAGGGTCCTTGGATGGAGCCTACAGGGGATTTCTGCTCAGCAGGGAGCCTGCTTCCCTATATTTCTCTGTCTGCCTCTCTGCCTACTTGTGATCTTTTTCTCTGTCAAATAAATAAATAAAATCTTAAAAAAAAAAAAAAAGCTTAGTATAGAGTTTAATGTAAATGTAACATCCAGTAGGTACATTTTCAAATATTCATAAAATTGTCTTCTTCCCAATTAATTTAATCATTCTATCTGTTCCATAGAGAGTTTTCTGTTAACCCTTCTTCTAATCCTGGGAAACCTGTTCAGTTTTTAGTTTCTCAGGTTCTCTTGTGACAGCAACTGCTTCCCAGTGCACAAAAAATAAACAAATTAAAAAAATAAAATAGAAGTTTTCTTTTCTTTCTTTCTTTTCTTTTCTTTTTTTTTTTTTTTTTTTGAGAGAGAGAGATAGAGAGTGAGTGGGGGAAGAGAGGAAGAGGCAGAGAGAGAATCTTAAAGCAGGATCCACATCCGGAGCAGTTTAAGGCCTGATGCACCAGGCTCAATGCTGCAACCCTGAGATCATGACCTGAACCAAACGGACTGAGCCACCCAGACATCCAAAAGTTCCTTAACAGTAAATATTTTCTTATATTTAAGAAACCATTTCATCTGCTACTTATAGTACAGTCTAGTATAAGATGGTATTTGATTTAATCAAGAATTTATACTAAGTTGCTTTTAGTTTATAATAGCGATAGTTTGTGGGGTTCTTCAAGAAACATGACATTCAGGTAGTTTTCCACCTGAGTAAGAACCACAACTGGAGAATTTAGTTCACTGCCCAGGGGTCTTTACATTGCCTTGATAACTACTCTCACCAACACCATTAGTACTCATTCCCCCTTTAAATTTGGCTTTTCTTTCTCTCTTTTGTCCAAATAAAAAAGCAAAAGAAAGTGTTCTAGTTAGTAAGCAATGAAGTTACAAGTTCTGCCATATTAACTATCAATCAGAGTCGGTATGCATAGGTACTATTGTCTTTCTTTGGTTTGAGATTCTCCTATTCTATGTTTTGTTAGATTCTGCTGCCATCAGTAACAACTGCAAAAACTAAATTTCCACTGAATATAGTAGTTTCTATTAATTCTTCCTCAGTACAATGTTTCTATCATCCGCAAATTTTAACTTAGCGCCATAATTTTCATTTAAATTGCCCTAGGCAAGAATTCATATATTTGGGTGCTCAGATATAACAACCTATAAGCATTTTTTTATTGATTTCCCCATACGTGAACCTTTATAAACAGATACCCGATAAACATTTGAGACCAATTAGAAGGCACTCAATAACTATCCATTTCCTTTCCTGATCCTTCTACCCCAAATCCTTGAGTAAATGTTGCACAACACAGGACACATCAGAATTCTGATAATACTCTATTTCTCTTTCTCCTGCCTTTATCTCCTATGCCCCCTAATCATTGTCTCTGTTTCTATCTTTCTATTAAAAAATATAAATAGGGACAATATTTTGATTCTTGTCTTACTAGATTTTCAATTTTTTTTTTCCTTAGGATGCCAAACATACTATCATTTTGACTTTATTAAAGCAAAAAGCTCTATATTGAAATGGTAGCATAGTACAGCTATAGGCTAAATATTTTTCAGTGCATATATTACTGAACTTACAATTATCCAATATAAATCAAAAGCTCAACTAAGAAAAACACTGTTGATTAAAGATAGGAATAGGATAGGAAAGGATAGGAAACCTTGCATATTCAGGGTAAGTATAAACGAGGATCTCCCTCTGGATTAAACTAATTGATCCGAGAGCAGTTTACATGGAACACATTGGGTTATTCCAATAATATATATATCCAATAACATAACTGATTTTTGTGAATTGTGTTGGATGGGGTCCTTCTGATCTATGCTGAGGAAGCCCAAAAGGAATACTCTATTGATGTGCTCACTGTGTTCATGTCACAATGCTGTCCAGTACGGTGTCCACTGCCATGCACTATTTTCTTGATGTTCACCTTGGGAGATTTTTTTTTTTCTGGTGTTAGTTTTAGGAATTATTGAGATTCTCTTGAGTAACTGATTTTTTTTTTTTTTTTTTAAAGTAGGCTCCACATCCAACATGAGGCTTGAACTTGCAACCCTGAGATCCAGAGTCACATGCTCTACTGACTGAGCTGGACATGTGCCCTGAAAAACTGACTTTTTAAAAAAATTGTTTAAAGAATTAATTCTGTGGCTCATCTGTTGATCAGTTTTTCCCCACACCACTGGCTAAAAAAACGCATTAGACAAATTTACGTTCTATCCTTAGAACTTCACAATGACTATGTTCTCCCTTCGTGCCTGGTTTTGTTCTGTCAGTGTACCTGTTTGTCTGTGTAGCATTATTGCTATCTTTGTCTTATCCTTGTTTTTAACCAAATAATTACA